AACTCACTCATTGATTAATAGTGTGCTATTCAGCCTCCAAGTGTTTGAATTTTTGTGATTGATTTTACTGTAGTTGATTTCTAATTTTATGCCATTGTGATCTGAGAAGATGCTTGATATGATCTCAGTCCTCTTGAATTTGTAGAGACTTTGCCTGTGTCCCAATATGTGGTCTATCTTTGAAAATGTCCCATGTGCACTTGAGAAGAATGTATATTCTGTAGTTTTGGGATGGAATGTAATAAAGATGTCGATTAAGTCCATCTGATCTAGTGAGTCGTTTAGGATTGATGTTTCTTTGCTAATGTTTTCCTAGAAGATTTATCCAGTGACATTAATGGGGTATTAAAGTCTCCTACTATGATTGTGTTGTTGTTAATCTCAACCCTGATATCTTCCAAAAGATTTTTTATGTATTTGGGTGCTCCTGCATTGGGTGCATAAATGTTTACCAGAGTTATATCTCTTGTTGTATCGATCCCTTTAGAATTATGAAGTGGCCTTTCTTGTCTCTTGTTATGGTCTTCACTTTGAGGTCTATTTTGTCAGATATAAGTATTGCTACCCCAGCTTTTTTTCATTTTCGTTTGCCTGCTAAATACTTTTCCATCCCTTCACTTTCAGTCTGTGTGAGTCCCTTGTTCTGAGGTGGGTCTCCTGTAGACAGCATATATATGGGTCATGTTTTCTTATTCATTCATTCACTCGACGTCTTTTGGTTTGAGCATTAATCCATTTACATTTAATGTTATTATTTATAGGTACTTGTTTGTAGCCATTTCTGTATTTTATGCCTGTGTTCCTTCCTCCCTTTCTATTTCTTCTTTTTGCAGCATTCCCTTTAGCATTTCTTGTATTGCTGGTTTGGTAGTGATAAACTCCCTTAGCCTTTTTTTTGTCTGCGAAGCTCCTGATTTCCCCTTCAATTTTGATTGATAGTCTTGCTGGATAGAGTATTCTTGGATTCAGTCCTTTGCTTTGCATCACTTTGTATACCTTCTTCCATTCCCTTCTAGCCTGATGTGTTTCTTTTGAGAATTTTGATAATCTGATGGGGGATCCTTTGTAGGTAACTGTCTGTCTCTCTCTTGCAGCCTTTAAGATTCTCTCTTTGTCGTTAACATTTGCCATTGTAATTATGACGTGTCTTGGTGTGGGTCTTTTGGGATTTATCTTGCTTGGGACTCTCTGTACTTGTGTAACTTTGTACTTCCCCATATCAGGGAAGTTTTCTGTCATTATTTCTTCAAATAGATTCTCTAATCCTTGCTGCTCTTCTTGTCCTTCTGGCAGCCCTATTATACATATGTTACTTTGTTTTGTGTTGTCCCATAGCTCCCTTAGGCTCTCCTCCTGTTTTTTACTTTTATTCTCTAGTTGCTGTTCAGATTGGGCCTGTTTCTATACCTTATCTTTTAGCTCTCTAATTTGGTCCTCTGGTTCTTATAGTCTACTGTTGAAACCTTCCATGGTGTATTTGATTGTAGCTGTATCACTTTTGATTACTTCTTGATTTTTGCATAGGTTGTTGATTTCCTCGTCCATCCAGTGTATGAACTGTATGAACATTACTCTGAATTCTTTTTCTGTCATGTTGCATGCTTCTGTTTCACTTATTTCCTTTCTTGGCGATTCCTCATTTTCTTTCCTCTGGGGATTGTTTCGTTGTCTCCCTATTCTAACTATCACCTGCAGGTTCTAATGTCGAGTTGTGGAGGCCTGAGCTGTGTGCAGTGGGAGCTTCGCACCCCCTGAGTGTCACTGAAGAGCTCTGACACCAAGATGTGTGGCTGCCATGGGTTGGTGGGAGCCACGCTTGCCCAGGATCAGAGTCACTGGCACTTAGTGCGGCCTTGTGTGCACACATAGAATCAGGGACCCCGCCTGCGCCGCGCTGAAACAGAGACCCCGCTGGCGTGTGCTGAAAATCAGAGTCCACTAGCGAGTGTCGGGAATCAGAGATCCCCTGTGCCTATGCTGAGAATTGAGTATCAGAGTCTCTGTTGCTTGGTGCGGCCTCGCGCCGAGAATCAGGGTCCCTGTGTGTGCATGTGCCAAGAATTGGAGTCCCTGGCTCTTAGTGTGAATGCACTGGGAGTCAGGGATCTCAGGCGCACACATGAGAAACAGAGTCAAGTCACTGGTGCTCAGTGCTGCCTCTCGCGCGGAGAATCGGGGTCCCTGGTCTGCTTGGGGGACCAGGTTGCACTGTGTCATCAGGAGGTCCACTCCTGCGTTAGGGAAAACAGCCTCCGTGTGCGCTTGCCCTGAATCAAAGTCAGGTGGCACTGCTGCCCTGTGTGGGCTTGATGTCTGGTCATGGGAGTGCGGGCTGAGGGAAACACACTCCCCGTGTTCGAGCACCCAGCTTCAAATTCAGCACAGCCTCCCTGTGTGGGTGCGGGGTCTGGTCACACAGGTGTGCACTGCGGGAAACAAACTCCCTGTGTCTGTGCACCTGGGCTCAAATTCAGTGCAGCCTCCCTGTGTGGGCGCAGGGTCTGGTCTCAGGAAACAAACTTCCCCTGTCCGCGCACCCAGGCTCAAATTCAGGTAGAGCCGCTGCTGTTGTGTGTGGGCAGGAGGCCTGTTTGTGTGGAGAGGGTCTGGCAGTTCTTATGCCACTGCCGCGGGCCAGCGGGGAGCGGGATTGGCTCTGTGACTCACAGAAATCTGCAGCCCTGGCCTGCCTGGGGTCTTGGCGTCCCTGGGTCTGCAGTGGTGGTCGCAGGTCTTTCACCCGAGTGCTGTAGGGTCCCAGTTTGTGACTGAGACCAGATTAGATAGTGGCAAGGCTGGATCCTAGTCTCAAGCAGTTCAGTTCTTCAAGATGGCGTGGTCTCTGTGCCGGCGGTGTCCTCCCCGGAGTGTTTGCGGAAGCAGCAGGGTTGCACCCTCTAAGACTGCCCAGTTTGGCAGCCCCTTGGAAGACCTGCAGGATCTAACTGTCCTAGCTCTCACACACACACATCACACCTGTCCACACACTCCTCTATCGCTCCCTCACTCTCTCACACACTGTCCCTCCCTACCTTCTCGGTGGTCGCCATCTTGTCCCTCTCTGAACTCATCTTTAAATGGAGGTTTTCAGTGGTAGTTCTATGTGCCCTGTGGAGCTGTTTCATGCTTACCCCAGCCAGGACTCCATGGGTTACCCATTGCAAACAGGTTTGTTGTTGTTGTTGTTATTGTTTTAAATATATTTTTATTGATTTCAGAGAGGAAGGGAGAGGGAGAGAGAGATTGAAACATCAATGATGAGAGAGAATCATTGACTGACTGCCTCCTGCACGCCCCCTACTGGGGATCGAGGCCGCAACCCAGAATTGAATCTGGACCTTTCAGTCCACAGGCCGACACTATCAACTGAGCCAAACTGGCTAGGGCTGCAGGCAGGTTTTATGTTAGCTGCCTTATCTTAAAACCCCAGGTGTATAGGTGTATACTGAAAATATAAAATTAAATAGATGTTAATATCTTGCTATATTTGCTTCAAATGTTTTAAAATTAAAGTTATACCTAAAGTGCCCTGGCCAGTCTAGCTCAGTTGGTTGAGCCATCCCATGCACCAAAAGGTTACCGGTTAGATTTTCAATCAGGGCACAAGCCTGGGTTGCGGATTTGATCCCCAGTAGGCGGTGTGCAGGAGGAAAATCGATGTTTTGCTTTCATATTCATGTTTCTCCACCTCTCCCTTCCTCTCTAAAAATAATTTTTAAAATCTTTTTTTAAAAAAAGTTATACCTAAAGCTAAATACCTAGCCTCACTTAATTGTTCTCCTTCCTTTCCTCCCCAAAAGCAATAATTAATTAAAGCATAATTGTATTTTAAAATTTCACAAAGTAACAACATATAATTTGTAATCTTTTGCCATTTGCTTTTTTCACTACACAGTATGTTTTTTTATAGTAATCTATGTAAATCCTGTTCATCCATTTTTTAAAAAATATATTTTTATTGATTTCGGAGAGGAGAGAGAGAGAGAGAGAGAAACATCGATGAGAGAGAATCGTTGATTGGCTGCCTCCTGCATGCCCCCTACTGGGGATTGAGCCCGCAACCCAGGCATGTGCCCTTGACCGGAATCAAACCCGGGACCCTTCAGTCCGCAGGCCAACGCTCTATCCACTGAGCCAAACCGGCTAGGGCAGTTCATCCATTTTAATTGTTCAGTAGTGTTCCACTGTATGAATAAGCCATTTTATTGACATTGAGTTGTTTTTATTTTTTACTATTACAAGGCAGTGCTATAATGAAAAGTATGCCTATGCACATGTGTTTCTCACTCTAGTAGTAGAATTTCTAGATGAAAGGGGATGCACACCTTCACTTACTCTAAGATGCTAAATTGCCCTGAAGGTGGCTTTTATGCCCCCAAGCAGTGTTTGGGTTACTGTTTCTCTGTCTTTTCCAGCACTTAATGATATTTAGACCTAATCAAATTTTGCCAGTCTGATGATCACTTTTCTAACATGTTCACAGTTTCTCCTTGGTATTTTTTAAAGATTGCTTTCATGATACTGTGTATTATAAATATCAAATATATGTATATGCATAGTTCTGTTCATAATATCTTGGACAGCAAGCGACTTCCTGGCCCTCTTCCTCCTTTTTTTTTTTTTTCCCAGAAATTTGATTTTCTCCATAAAGATCTTAAACAGTTTTTAATAGGTTTTATATATCGGTATCTTGCTCTAATCTTGTTGCAATAGTGAAAAATATCTTCAAATTATATTTTTGTTTCTTGCTCTTATGCTAGAATTATTCATTTTTGCATATGGCACTTGTGCCTTGCTGAACTTCTATTAGTACTAGTGATCATTAGATATGTGATATGAGTTTTGATTTTTTCCTGTCCAACTAAGCAGATGTTAGTTATAATTTATTAAAAATAATATATACAAATTATATTGACAAGGATTATAACTTAAAAGTTGAAATCTGTATTTCAACTTTATTTTCAAATATTTATTTTCACGTGATTGTATGTGTCTTCTAGATGATGAATATACAAAGTCTCCCTTGGCACCTACATTCTGTACTCCTGGTTTGAAAATTCCTTCTACAAAGAACAGAACAGCTTTGGTAAATTTTCATAAAATTAAAAGCTCTAATTTTGTTTTTAATGACTCAGATACACGATTACTTCTTGACTCAGTCTGTTTAAAAAGTTAGAATAATACAGACTTTAGTTGTATACTTACCATATACTTCTGGAGGGTAATATAGCAGCATATATTAAGAGCTTTAAATTTTTTCATACCTTTTAAACATGTCTCAGAATTTATTCTAAGGCTCACTGGGACAGATTTGTTATAGCAAATTATTATTAGAGCAAAACATGGAAACAATCTAAATGTCAAATGGTAGAAGAGAAGCAAGATACATTAAGGTATGTCAGTAAGGTCCAGTGTTGCATAACTATCATGTTTTTAAAAAACATATAAGAACATATAAAAACAATGTGTTCAGGTATTTAATGATATGGAAAGTGGCATGTATGTATATGTACAGATACACATGCATACAGTTGTCCTCTCTTATCCGTGGTTTTGCTTTCTGTGGTTTCAGTTACCTGTGGTCAACTGCAATCTGAAAATATTAAATGGAAATTTCCAGAAATAAACAAGTCATGAGTTTTCAGTTATGCTCCTTTGAGTAGAGTTATAAAATCTCTCATCCTCCTGCTCCATATGAGATATGAATCATCCCTTTGTCTGGCATGTCCACACTGTAGATAGTACCCTCCTGTTAGTCACTTAGTGACCATCTCAGTTATCAGATCAACTGTCAAGGTATCACAGTGCTTGTGTTCAAGTCACATAACTTTTATTACAGTATATTGTTAGAATTGCTTTTTTATTATTAGTTATTGATCTTTTACTGTACCTGTTTTATAAATTAAACTTTATTATAGGTATGTATGTATAGGAATAAACAGTACATGTAGGGTTCAGTACTATCTAGGGTTTTAGACATTCACTGGGGGTGTTGGAACATATCTCCTGTGGATAAGGTGGGACTACTACATTTTAAGGAAAAAGAATGAATATAAACACACCAAAATGTGGTTATTTATGGGTGATTTTTATTGCCCCCCCCTTTTTTCCCCCCAAATTTTCCCTAGTGAACAAATTTACTATTATCAAAACCTCATTCTGTTGTAAAGTTGGTATGAATATTTAAGACAACCCATATGGTAGACCAGGCTGTTCAATAGAACTTCCTACAGTGATGGAAATGTACTATATTCTGTGCTGTTCGGTATGATAGTTATTAGTCACAGCCAGCTACTGAGCACATAAAATGTGGCAGGTGCATCTGTGGGACTAATTTTTAGTTTTTAAATTTTTACTAATTTCATTAAGTTTAAACAACCCCAGATGGTTGTGGCTTCTGTGTTGGACACTGTAGTTGTAGAGAAATAAAATGCTGGGTTTCCGTCAAATATTTCTTTCTCTTGGGGGTGAGGGCCTGTGGTAATTTGCCCATTCCTTCGTGCTGTGACTCTCATCTAGCCCAGTTAGTTGCCTGAGACTGGGGAGGGGTGAATCATCTAAATCTGGGATTCAGTCCATTTTTCATATTAAGCTGTAGCTCAGCCTTTGTTGGTAATGAAGGTGGTACTTTGTCCTCCATATGTCATTTCTTTGTTTTCTTGATTTTATTTAATACTTGATTGGGAAGAGGGGGCCATTTCTGGCCTATTTAAGGACTCCAACAGAACTAACAATTGACAATTTTTATTTTCCATTATTTTATACCACCATAATTTAATGATTTATTTTTATTCATTAGGTATCCACAGATTATCCATTATCAAAAACAAACAGTTCATCAAATGATTTGGAAATGAAAGACTATACATCGTTAGTTTTAAATTCAGACAAGTGCTTTGAGAGCTGTGCGGAAGCTCCCTCTTCCCCTGTGATTTCTTCTTATGAGAATCTGCTCAGAACACCTACACCTCCAAAAGTAACTACAATTCCAGAAGACATTCTCCAGGTTATTTTCCAGGCTGTTTTTTTTTTTTTCTGATACATCTTTTTCAAAGTTAGATATTTATGTAATCTCTGATGTAAACTATTACTTATCATTGGGCTATGTGCTGGTTTGGGTATTGAGAAAATCTAAATTCTGGGCTGCTAGGACTTTCTGACACTACCTGGTTAAGGTTCTTCTGAGTTGAGCAGAAGCTAGTGACATCATCATACTTTTATGCCCTTGGGGCATTTTCTCTTTAACCTCAAGTTCAGAAATGTATTCTTGTAATGTATTCTAATTTTTCAATTGTTCACCCGTGATGGTCATGTTGACCACTATTTCCATGGGAGGTGTTGCTGCCCAAGTAAGGAATGTCATTTATCCTACAGTTCTTCAGAGATGGGTATCATGAATAACTTGAGAAACACTGATTTAGAATTTCTAATTCTTTAGTAAAACATCATTTACTACTAGTCAACTACTGATTTATAGCAACTGCCAAATCTAAATAACCACCAGTCTGGTTCTTCCAGTCCCCCCACTACTCCCCCAAAGGAGTTGTAGTGTTTGGCAATGGTTATTCTAGCAACCTTCCTAGCTTATGGAGAGCTATGAGAAAGATAAAACTACTTGGGAAAAAACCTAAATGCCATTGGAACAGACTCATCCTAACATATAAGTAAAGGGTTCATTATTCTCCTCTCTCTGGCTTTTCTGTTTTTTTTTTCTGGGCATCATAATAGAGTGAGAAGGAGCAGTTTTTGTCTATAAGCATTATATAGAGTTCCACTTCCCTTTTTATTTCTATGTTAAAAGAGGGAAACCTTGTATTTAATGTGTCACTTCTTTATTTATGAAAACAATCATAGTTGATATTTCAAATTCTTTTTATAATCTATATAACATTTTTTTTAGCATTTATTTTGCCTCTTTCCTATATATATTTTTCCTAACATCTTTGTAAAGGCTTAATTTGTTCACAGGGACACGTTGCTGCTTGTTTCCATTATCCTTAGTGTACATTTTAGAAGGCTTTAGTAATCAAGCCTCCACACCCAAGTTAAATTTTTAATATTGCCATCATTTCTGTGATGTTAAACGTCCGTCTGTGCTGCTAAAAAAATTCTTACTGTTTCAAACAACCCATACCCTCTAATTTTCCTTGGGTTTTCTTGAGTTTTATAACACCTTCCAAATTTATGTTGTTCATATGACTTAATAAAAAGGAATTTGCTTGTTTTTTAGATTTTATCAAAATACAACCCAAACCTAGCTACTACTCCAGTAGCAGTTAAGGCATGCCACCCAGCAAAGCATTCTTTACTAGATGTAAAGGACGGAACATCTGAGATGTTGGCAACAAGAAAACTGGTGAAAGTGAGTATGTTACCATTCCAAAGAAAGTACATGTGTCATTTGAGGAGAACATTTGAAAATTAACACTTGAATGGTAGGAACAAAATTTTGACATTTGGCAGCTTGGGTTAACAGCTTATGTCTTTCTCAATATAGAATTTGTGATCCCTATACCTGACTCCCACAATATCAAGTTAGATAATATCATTCGGAATTATTCCCAACTATTTTATATATAAAGTGTAAAAATATATAACCACAATGTTGTATCATTTGTTTTGTTGATTGCTATTAATTATACCTAGATGATATTTATTTGATCTTTTTGCAGAAATCCTAGTGGATCCGTCCGTCCATTAATAGAAACTGAACAGAATGAGATGAAATCAAAGCTGGACTTATTTTGTTTTCACATTCCCGTTTTTCCCTTTCTAAAAATCAATCCATATCAAAGATGAGTTTGGATACTGATATCATAATTTGCTTTTTAAGTTTTGATTTACTTTAACCTAAATTGTGACATGCAACTCACTTACTGTTTTTAAATATCATTACTATTTCACTGATCTCAAATTTACCCTACCTAATCTAATCATGGATTAAGTAATTACTAGGAAGCAGGATCAATAACTTTTAAATTTTAAGTGTTACTGTTTGCTATTCAAGTAAGGCCATGTCCAGCCCTCGCCGGTTTGGCTCAGGGGATAGAACATCAGCCTATAGACTGAAGGGTCTGGGGTTCAATTCTGGTCAAGGGCACATAACTCAGTTACATGCTCCATCTCCATCAGGGCGTGTGTGGGAGGCAACCAATCGATGTTTCTCTCACATCCATATTTCTCTGTCTCTCCCTTCTATGCTAAAGAAAAAAGGCCACCTCCAGTCTTCTCTGAGCTGGGTAGGTCCTGCTGTCTGCAAGAGCAGGCTTCTTAATCCTAACTGCCCTTCTCCTGTCTCCTCCCAGTCTCTTATACCTTTTATTTGGTAACATACTCACATTGCTCTTTTAAAACACAGTTTACAAATGACAGCTTAATTTAGGAAAAGGAGAATTTACAGACCAGGACATCTGCACTGTAGTAGGTCTCAAATGAAATCACCTGCTGTCAATTTGGGAGTGTTTTTCCTTCTTTTTTCCTTCCAACTTTTTGCTTAGTGTCCATTTCATCCTCTCAACTCAGCTGTTTCCCCCACATGGCTGCTGACCTCTCCAAGTTCCACTTCAGTGGCTACCCACCAACCCTGAGGCCTTTCTGGAAGATGCTGATTACTCTTCCTGGGCCAGGTGTGCTTCTCTGGAATGTCAGCTGTGACCACAATAACGAGGAGACTGAATGTGTCGAGAGCTATCTAATAGCTTCCCACTGCCCTGTCCATCAGGCCCAAGATCCTTCCCATTTAAGTATAACTGAACAGTAATCTTATCTAATTAAGTCCATAAAAGTACTTTGGCAAACATTTCAGATGGCCAATGGGAAAATAAGGACCTAGTGTATAATGACAAGGTGCTTCAATGGCTTAGCTTTGGGGAATTTGATGTGGTAGAGTACCCTCTTCTGTGACTGTGCCTTGAAAGTCAAATGTAAAGACTTGCTCTCTTCATTTTGTCAGAAAATAGTCATTAAAACAAAACTTGATTTATTCTGTGTTCTAGGAATTACTGTGTAGTTGTAATTTTTGTTAAATATGTAAAATAAATTATTTTCAAGATAGTTTTAGTTCAAGGTAAAGCTCTAGTCACCTTACATATGATGATGACTCCCCAAATTTCTATTAACCTTTCATTAACTATTTACCACAACTGCATGGACAGAAATGCACAGGATGAGTGGATTGCTAAGGGAGGGAGGTATCCAGAATACTAAGACTGAATCCTGGACTTCTACATTAGAGGACGAGAAGAGGTAGATCAATCTAGGGAAGGAGATTGAGAAGAGGCCATTAAGTAGGAAGGATTTCAAGGAGAGTGATTGATCCTGTCAGTATTGCTGAGAATCCTATATAATAAAAGGGTAATATGCAAATTGACCCTAACAGCGGAATGACCAGAATAATCGCTTGACCAGTCACCGAGGCGCACTGACCACTTCTTGGTCCCTTTCCCCAGCTGGCAGGCTCAAATTGCCCAATGGCTAACGGGGAACCGGGGGTTGGTGGCAGGCCAAGGCCTCCACCCCACCAGTCACCCCACACACAGAGAGCAACCCGCAGCGGGGGCAGGGCCGGCAAGTGGGCAGAATGGCCGACCTCTCCTGCCCTTGGCCAGCAGACTACGATCACCTGATGGGGAACTGGGAACTGGGGTGGATGGCGGTGGGGGGCGGGGCTGGCTGTGGGCAGCCGGGGAAGATGGCCCTGATTGCAGGCCAGGCCTAGGGACCGTACCCACACACGAATTTCATGTGCTGGCCTCTAGTATATTGTATAAAAGAGACAAAACTGACTGTTGGACTTGGTAGTAAAATAGATGACATTGTCAGAACTGATTAATTTTTGATGGTGTGCTGGGGACTGATAACAGTAAATAAACATGCTAGGCATGGTCCTAAATATTTATTAACCTATTTAATTCTTAGATTAATTCTTTGAAATAGGTATTTTCCAGATGAGGAAATGGTGGCTTTTCTATATCCCATTCATTATCCACCCTAAATCTTATTGATAGCCTCCAACATTTCTGGTATGTGTCCCCTCTTTATCCTGAATTTGGCCAAAATTAGTACACGAGTGTTCCATGAGTGGTATAAGCACTGTCATTCCCCACTTGCATGTCTTTGTTCAGGTTACACCCTGTAATGGGAGTATAAGTCCAACCCTTTAGGAGTTGGACAAGCTCAAGTGCTGTCTTCAGTAGCAACTTCTCAAACTTTTTACCATGTGTTTAAACCTTTCATTATGAGACTAAGACTATGAGGAAGGATCTGTATCTATATCATATTTATGTTTCTCCAGGCCCACAGAACCTGGTACATAATAGACACTCAGTTTATATATATACACTGAGTGGCCAGATTATTATGACCACCTGATGTTTGTAGGCAAATTAGCTATTTCTCGCTGAAGTTGCTAGAGGGCCAGACCATTATAAATAGGGAAACAGGTTGTTTACCAGTAGAAGTGATTTTTTTCTGAAGATAATGGGTAAACAATGCAATTTAACAGCCTTTGAACGTGGGAGATATATATACATACACACACACACACACACTGAGTGGCCAGATTATTATGACCACCCCAGCAGTACTTTGTTGGGCCACCTTTTGCCTTCAATACTGCGGCGATTCTTCTTGGCATTGACTCCATGAGATGTTGAAAGGTGATGCGAGGAATATGACACCAGGCTTGATGAATAGCACTGTCCAGTTCTGTGAGATTTGATGGTTGTGGAACCAGCTGCCTGATGGCTCTTTTAACTTCATCCCACAAATGCTCAATTGGATTGAGATCTGGTGATTGTGGGGGCCACCCAAGCAAGGTAGTCTCCCTCATGTTCTTGAAACCACTCCTGCACAAGACGAGCACCGTGGCATGGAGCATTGTCTTGTTGGAAGAAGCCATCTCCATTGGGATACGCTATCAACATAGGATGAACTTGATCAGCAACGATACTTAGGTATGTTGTGCTATTGAGACGTTGTTCCACATGAATTAAAGGGCCCAAATCATGCCAGGACAACATGCCCCAAACCATAACACTGCCCCCACCAGCTTGAAGGGTTGTACTCATGCATGTGGGGTGAATGCTTTCATGCCGTTTCCACCAAATTCTCACTCTGCCATCTGCATGATGCAACTGGAAACGTGATTCATCGGACATGACTTTTTCCAATGCTCAACTGTCCAATCCTTGTGTTCCTGTGTGAATTGGAGACTTTTTTTTCTTGGTAACTGCAGACAGCAAAGGTGTTCAAACAGGCCTTCAGCTTCCATATCCCATATGATGCAGTGTATGGCTAATTTGCCTAAAAATGTCAGGTGGTCATAATAAGCTGGTCACTCAGATTCAAATATATCCCACATTCAAAGGCTGTTAAATTATATTGTTTACCCATATCTTCAGAAAAAAATCACTTCTGTCGTAAACAACCTGCTTCCCTATTTATAATGGTCTGGCCTTCTAGCAACTTCAGTATGAAATTATAGCTAATTTGCCTACAAACATCAGGTGGTCATAATAATATGGCCCCTCAGTGTGTGTGTGTGTGTGTGTGTGTGTCCTAGCTAATAAAGATGGGATATGCAAATTGACCATCACTGCAACAAAGATGGCGGCGCTCACAGCCGATAAGGAGGGAATATGCAAATTGGCATGACAAAGATGGCGGCGGCCGGGACGCTTGCATTGTCCCCATGGAAACAATGCAGGCGTTCCATCCCGCTCTGGCCGCTCCAGGCCTCTGGGCAGCACTGGAAGGCAGAAGGCAGCTCTGGGCCAGAGCGAAGGCAGTGCTGGCAGCCAGGGGATGGAAGGCCTATTCTTGCACGAATCTTCCTGCATCGGGCCTCTAGTATGTGTATGTGTGTACACACACACATATATATGTATGTATATATTATTCCCTGGCAAAGTACTAGAAAGTGTGAGTGGTAAAGTAGTCAGAAATACAAATTCTCATGGTTTCCAATAATTACTCTAGAATTTACACAGATTTTAAAAATGCCTTTGGTTTACTTTGTTCATAATTTAACACATTGTTTGCAGGTAGTTTTTATCGCGCGCTAACAGGTGGCGCTGCCCAGCCTGGGTAGGGTAAGAAATTCTGAAGGCACATTGAGAGGGCTACGAATGCCTTTTCTTCTTTTTAAATAGGTATTTATTGAACATTCACTATCAGGCACTCCTAAGCACTATTTCATTGGCTCCTCCCAACAGGAGGTGGGTATGTAATATACCTTTACACAATAAATGTTCATATCACTCCCAGACTTATAGTTATTGCTTATTAAAAAAATTTTAAGGCCAAATGTTAGTCTTAAAATTCCCTTTTAGGTTTTAGCTTATTCCTCTCAGATTATGGGCAGGGGAGAATCCATGACACTCTTCATAGAATACTAGTAGCTGCCTAGCCCTTGCTGGTTTGACTCAGTGGATAGAGCTTTGGCCTGTGGACTGAAGGGTCCCAGATTCTATTCCAGTCAAGGGCACATGCCTGGGTTGCAGGCTCAATCCTAAGCCATGGTTGGGGCGCATGTAGGCGGCAAGCAATCAGTGTGTCTCACATTGAAGTTTCTGACTCTCCCCTCTCCCACTCTAAAAATCAATGGAAAAATATCCCCTGGTGAGGATTTAAAATACACATAAAACATATAAACAAATAGCTGCCTGCCCAGCTGGTGTGGCTCAGTGGTTGAGTGTCGACCTATGAACCAGGAGGTCACAGTTCAATTCCCAGTCAGGGCACATGCCTGGGTTGTGGGCTCAATCCCCAGTGTCGGATGGACAGAAAGCAGCCAATCAATGATTCTCTCTCATCGATGTTTCTCTCTCCATTCCTCTCTGAAAACAAAAGTAAAACAGAATAGCTGCCTAGTCGTGATTAATCATAACAGAATAAACATTCTTCCTTCAGGCTTGTACATGCAGACTTCAAGAAATTACTACAGCTATGGCAAAACTACCTATTTCTAAGCAATAAAATACAGTAACACAGAACTCATATGGCTCCTCAAACTGTGAGCTGTGACCATATCATTTAAGAGAGGTGTTCTGGTTTGTATAAAAACTAAAACAGGCCCTAGCCCAGTGATTGGCAAACTCATTAGTCAACAGAGCCAAATATCAACAATATGACGATTGAAATTTCTTTTGAGAGCCAGATTTTTTAAACTTATATAGGTAGGTACACTGTTATTAACTTAATTAGGTTACTCCTAAGGCTTAGGAAGAGCCACACTCAAGGGGCCAAAGAGCTGCATGTGGCTCGCGAGCTGCGGTTTGCCGACCACGGCCCTAGCTGGTTTGGCTCAGTGGATAGAGCGTCAGCCTGCAGACTCAAGGGTCCCAGGTTCAATTCCAGTCAAGGGCATGTACCTTGGTTGCAGGCACATCCCCAGTAGCGAGTGTGCAGGAGGCAGCTGATCGGTGTTTCTCATCGATGTTTCTAACTCTATCCCTCTCCCTTCCTCTCTGTAAAAAATCAATAAAATATATTTAAAAAAAAACCCAAACTAGAACAGGTCCACAACTCTAGGTCCCTTGACTGAAATTTACAATGCAGAGGATAACTTTCCTACTGGAGCAGTGTCACTGTAGTGTGAGTGGATGCAAGACTGCAGTGAGTTGGTCAGAGAAACTATGAAAGAACACTATTTTTTGGAAACGTAGTTTCAATTAATCTATTATTGGTTACATAGGTTTATATGCCTCCCTTGTGACCTATTAAAGCAGGTCTTAATTTCATCTGCAGGTTGGAAACTAGTCATTGTAGCTCAATGAAGGTAAATGAGACAATTCACACTAAGTTCCTTAGCACAGAATCTGGCACAGCTAAGCACTCAAAATTGTAACTATGATAAGCTTAGTTTTAGGGTGTTGCCTTCAGTTTCACAAAGACAGTTTTTTAAAATTTGGTTTTAAGTACAGAGATAGTCTGGGTTCATTGAATTTACTGTTACATTTTGTAAAATTTGAATATATACTTAATGTCTAGACTCCCT